ATTGATGCCAAGACATATGGAATTCTCTAAGGAATGCTGGGCCTACAGATGCTGAAAGGAGACAAGGACCTTTCTCTGGAACTGGCACTCAAATTCAGATTTCTAGTCTCCTAAACTGTGAGAAAATAAAATTCTGTTTGTTAAAGCCCTAAAAAAACAAAACCTTATGACTAGCAGTGAAACACTATCAGACAGGGCCAGAATATTGAATACTGAAACATGCCTTTGCCCCACCTACAGCTGCCTCATACACATCTGGAACAAAAGACACTCTGGGGGAAGTTACCGGGGCAGCAGAAAAGTGGCATTGGGAAAAGATCAATAGAACCATGAAACACCTCCAAATACAAAGAACAGAGGATCAGGATGTGGACAATAAATAGAATCTTTCTCCTTGTCAGGCAGGCAGGAACCCAGTGGGGCTTGTGAGACCTTCCTCCCTATTAACTACCTATTCACCTCTCTTTTAACTAGTTTTCAACCCAGGCGCAAAATAGATTATGTCAAGTATCCCAGGTGTCTCCTCAATAGAATCCATCTAGAAATCTTAGACTCCATCTGGATGCCAGATGCACATGCAGCATGCCAAACTCAAGAGAAGAAAACTAGAGAGCAGAGCTATGGAAACAGGAAAGCCCACCCCCTTTTTGTAATCCAGTGAATTTGCAGTTTAACCTCTCACTATAGCTACATCTTAACAAGAGGAGATGCTGCAGCCTACAGCGCATCTCCCCTGCAGATATTCTTCTTCCATATTCTAATTAACCTCTTTTATATTTTATGCTTTTATAGTCTTCTGTAGCCTGACCCAGTATCAATGCCCATTTTAGAGAGAGAGCCACAGCACAAAGTGGCTAAATAACTTGCCACAGGGTTCTAGTTTGGGCCCCTACGTGATCATAGTGCCTTTTACAGTGATTATGGAGCCCTGGTGATGCTTTGGATAAACACTGAACTACTAATCACAAGATCAGCAGTTCAAACCTGGAGAAAGATGAGGCTTTCTGCTCCCATAATGATTTACAATCACAGAAACCCTTTATGTGGTCGATATGAATTAGAATTGACTCAGTAGCAGTGGGTGACTTTTTTTTTTTTTTTTTTTTTTACAGTGATTGGAACTGGAACAGGGAAAGAACATCAGGGTTGAGGGTAGATGGTGAGTTCTGTGGAATTTGCTTATGAATGCTAGTGTTATAGACAATATCTAAGAGAGGTCAAGGTAAGTAGATACAAAATGCCCAAGTCAAACTACTCGTAGATCAGGCCTACAGAGCTGGTCCCAGAGGCATCTTTGAAGACACACTGTCCAGATGGTCCTGGCCCTCATAAACAATGCAAGCTGACCACATGAGCATGAAATAGTTGTGAGGAATAAAAACAGTTGATCTTGGTTTCCAGATTCTCATATGTCTTACATACCAGGCACCCAGAACTGTGGGATGTGTCAGGGACACCTGAAAACTGTTGACAGCAACTGCCCAGCCTTAATAGATGCCTGGCTTAAGAATCCTGATTTTTGGATGCCTTGATAAACCAATGAGCCACATCCAATGGCAATGTCCAGCAGAGGCTCAGGCCCAGACAGTCAAGACCTCCCCAAGAAGTTTACAACCAGAGAGGATGATCTTGATGTCAGGGGGCCACTCACTACTAGGTTCAGTTGACAGTACTGCTCCAATGACTTCCTTTAAGCCTGTGAAAACGCTGCAGTAGGACTTCAGCTACCTTTCTTTCTGTCCTAGCCTGTGTAGACATGTAAAGTCCAGAGGTAGGATGAGGACATCTTTTTGATATTACAGACCCATGGACAACTAAAGGGACTCTTGCTTGGACCCAGTAAAGAATCAACTTTTCTGGACTACAAGAAGATACATAAGGTATAATTTAACTCCATCTTCTTATCCTCGGCCTTTTACCTAAGGCCCTAAAGAGGTTGTGCTTGCATGACCTGCTCAATCAGGTTAGTAGCAAGGACCTGTTTACACCCTATTTCTGCATGCAAATTATCCTTTAAAGAAAAGCCTACTTGGGTAACACTTGCTTCCCAGGGATTAGTGATCAAAGCATGAGCTGCATTTTATATTACTTTGTCCCCATACTTTCTGACTTTTTCTTGGTACCCTAGCCCTCCCTGAGTCTCTTCTTGGACGCCATAATTCCTTGACTCTCAGAAAAGGTTAACCACATCTATAAAAAGAAATATCACAATTCCTGGGCCTGCTTCTTCATTTCTAACACAGAGAAGCCAGCTGCTCATCTCACTGAGGCTCAATGTGTGAAAATGTGCTCAGCACACAGTCATAACAATAACTGGAAGAATGCTCAGGGTATGCTAAATCTATTGTTATACGTTTTGGTGATACAACCTGATACAGCGCTCCCAGCCCTGAGGCAAGTGCTATACTACAAACTTTTCACATGAGAAAACTGGCCCTTAGAGGTTAGGTATCTTTTCTAAGGTCACTGAAAGGCAGGAGCCGAGTTGGGGTACGTTTGGTTTGTCTGGACTTTGAATGGACTGAGAGTAGATATGGGCAGCCTAAGGCCCTCTACCCATACTCAGCAGCCCAGTGAGGGGGCCAAGCCTAGCATGGGTGATCTGGTTGGCAGCGCCTGCAACCTCCTAGGTGCAGGTTGCGAGCCCACCATTGCATCCAGACTTCCGGGATCCTGGAGGGCCGGAAGTGGGGGCCTTACCCGCTTCCGTCTCGGCCATTGTTTTTATTTCCGCGGGCCTCCGTGGTGTCAGGCTTCCGTGTGGGGAGTTGCGACCGCGGGTGCCCGAGCTAGCTGTCCTGGAGCGGGAGGAGGCGGGGCCGGGCTCATCAGGCCTCCCGCGTCGCGGCCCGGAGTTGGGTTCGCCGGCGCGGGTCCAGTCCACACTCCGCCCCCGCTGCCAGCGGCGTGGTCCCTGATGCTCAGCAGTTGCCGGACGCAGAGCTCTTTGTCTGATATTTTAACCAGCCGTGCCTGGCACGGAGCCGGGTACCTAGGGTCACAGCGATGTCCAGGGCCAACGTGGTCAGGTGAGGGGGTGCCCCAGGGGCCTGGTTTAGAGTGAAATGTAGGTAGACCTTCACCAGCCTTGGCTCTGGGTTACAGTGTCAGAGGTGGGTCAGACGCAGTCTTGGAATTTCAAACGTGAAGCGTTAACTTGGAAAGTCAAGTAGATGAGATAAACTGCAGAGCTTCTGAAAAATAAGTAGGAAAAACAGGGCCCGAACTTCCTAGATGTGTGAAATCTCAGTGCAGAGTTCACATTGGTTTTTAAGCCTATATTTGTCTTGTTAAAGAAATTGGGACTCAAATAATTTGCCCAGGGATCCGAGATGCATGGTGGGTGAGTTGAAGCATAGCAAAAAAAGTTGCCCTAGTTGCCAGTAAGGTACTGATTTTGCTATATGTAATATCCATCGTTGGAGGCCAGGATGGCCAAACTTCACCTCTCATACTTTGCACATATTTGTCAGGAGGGACCAGTCACTGGAGAAGTATAACATGTTTGGTAAGGTGGAGGGTCAGAGAAAAAGAGGAAGACCCCCAGTGGGATGGATTGGCCAAGTGTCAGCATCAGTGGGCTCAAGCGTGGCAACAATTGTGAGGTTGGCCCAGGAGTGGGCAGTGTTGGTTTCTCTTGTGCATGGGGTCGCTATGAGTCGGTACCGATTCGATGCCACCTAACAACAACAACAACAACAAAATTGGATAAAAGTTTGCCCCCCACTTGCTTGGCAGTTTGAGCTCTACAGTTGGTTAGAATAATCAACATTGGCCAGAAACCAAATCAAAATAATATTTACTCTCAGATATATGTGACAGATTTTATGAGTTGGATAAGTATCAGAAAGCCTTTCATCTCCATGATCATTCATTCACCAAGTATGGGCCTCTGTGTATCATGCACCCTTAGTACAAGATGACTGAAAGCCAGCCCAGTTTTGGGGGTTTCCCAGAAAGTGATGGAACCAATTGTGTAAGCCAAAACCTATTATACTGTAACATGTGTTTAGCAGAGGTTTGAATGAAAAAGTAACTTGAAATGATAGCACACTTTCCCATACCTGGGAAAGGTTTTCTGGGGGAGGTTACTTTAGTTGAATAAGTTCTGGCATTTCCTGACTCCATTTAGTTCCTCTCATTTGGTGGCTTTCTAGCAGATTGGATTGTGAATGGTAAGGTGTGCATGAAGTGTTACTGTGTGAGATACAGAGAGGATAAACTGCCAGCTCTCTCCCTGCAGAGAAGCCTTCAAGAGGAAAAGATATTTGTTCTGGGTCTTACGTCAAAGTTGAAAGGAGAAGAAAAATTCAGACAGAGAAAGAATATAATTCTAGCAGAGTGTCTAGAAGTTCACTCCCCTTTACTTTATAATACATTTCTATTCGTAAAAGAATTTTTAGCACACATTCCAAACAGGTTTATTTTTGTAATTCAAAGATCTATACTATCATACATGTATTGATGTGTATTAGAAAACATACACTAAATAGAAGTTTAAAAAGGAAAGGATAATGAAAAGAAAAACTTAGTCTTTCTTTTGCACCCTTTAACTCATCCTGCAAATCTAACACTGGAGACCCTGTCTTTCTAGCCTGGGTATTTGGGGAGAGTGGTTGGGGAGTGGTTAGAACCAAGATTTAAGACCAGGTTGTGAAGAGCTGTGAATAGATATTTAGGGATTTTTCCTGTAGTTGATAGGAGTCACTGAAAGTTTAAGAAGCAAAGTGATTTTGTGTCCTTTTGTTCCCAGAACTTTGATTTTTTATCTCTGGAGTGTGTGTTGTCAGTGTGGGGATGAACACCCCAAGGACTCTGATTTCTCTCTTAATATTTCTGTAGGTGACTTTTCCGTTTCCTTCCTCTCCTCAACCCTGAAAGTCAGCTCCTGAGACCTGAATTACAGACTGGCTGCAGCTGGAACAAAGCTTGTTGGGGTCATAATGACCGCTGAAGACAGGGGAACATTAAGCCTCATCCATAGGGGTGCTGTTTTCCAGAAGCAGGAGGGGCACCTGTTTGTGAAGCAGGAGCCAGATAGCCAGACTTGGGGACAGAGTGGTCTCCAGAAGAATCATCCTCCTGTCTGTGAAATCTTCCGACTGCATTTCAGGCAGTTATGTTACCATGAGATGTCTGGGCCTCAAGAGGCTCTGAGCCGACTCCGGGAGCTCTGCCGCTGGTGGCTGATGCCAGAAGTACACACCAAGGAGCAGATCCTGGAGCTGCTGGTACTGGAGCAGTTCCTGAGCATCCTGCCCGGGGAGCTCCGGACATGGGTGCAGCTGCATCGTCCCGGGAGTGGGGAGGAGGCCGTGGCTGTGGTGGAGGATTTCCAGAGACACCTCAGTGGATCAGGGGAGGTGAGCAGTTTAGAGCGGCTTTTGGAACCTGTCTGTAGCACTCGGGTTCGTTTTAAATAGACTTTCTCCAGACTTCAGGCTGGTTTCTGAGCTACTTTCTTGGGTAGAGGGAAGCCAAAAAAGAAAACCCGAAGCGAGTTCTGTGAATCACTTTGCAAAGTGCTGTGTGGTAATCCGTGCTTCAATCTGATTATCCACGTACCACTCCTGACAAGCATCTGGGCTAGACAGTGGGTAGAATCAGGAAAGGGCGTTTTGGACCTCTGGGTGTGCTGACTACAATGAGTCCTCAGTTAAGAATTTCTCAGTACTCACTTGTATGAATTTTGCAGAGCCAGTATCTTCTCTTCCTGCTTCTTTTGTTCTTTCTGAGAGATAAGGCTTCTTCTGGATCTTGCAGTAATTTGTTCCCTTTGCTAGCTCTCCAGGACCAACTGGAGTTTTTTCTTTTGTCTTTGTGTCTCTTTGATTCTAATATTGGTTTCCATATTTCTGGGATTGTCTCAAATTTAAACCCAGAAAGTCGAACTAGAAGAAAATTGGGAAGCGTCAGCAGTGTAAGTATGATACCGTGGGAAGCCTAGGTTCTAGGACTGTGGCTATGGATAAGTTGCTTCCTCTTAATCAGTCTCAGATTGCTTCCCTCTAGGTTCATCCCTTGGCGCTTCACCAGGGAAAACCTTTATCTGAAATTTCCCAGATACTCAGCACATGATTGTATTTAGCAGCATTAAAGAAAACAATTACATATCTCTTCCTAGATACACATCCTGGGGCTAGACCTTCTTCCAGCAGTACTGGTCAATTTGCCAAAGTACCATTTGGCATTGTGGAATCCATTGTCAGCTATCATTTCCTTTGTGAAAACAAGTAAACAAATAATCAACCATAGCAAGAGTCTAGGAATTTAGGGAGCAGCTAGGTCCAACCACTGGCAAAGACAAAAGGCTGAAGCAGTGTTTTGTTATGTGAGCTTGACGCCCCCCATCCCCTTGCAATTCCAGCGCATTAGCCCACTAGAGCACCGTTTATTGAGGTGGATGGAAGGACAATTTTCGTATTTGTATACCTTGTTTTGAAGAGAAAACTCCCTCTGTTGAAACTCTTAATGGTCTGTTTTCCAGGAAACCTCAGAGAAAAGTGACTGAGTCACAAACCCAGGAGAGTAACTAACAGTTGCCAGGCAGGGCAGCTGAGCACCCATAGTGCCAGTCTAAAAATAGGTAGTTGGACTCCAAAGCGTATTGTCAAAGCTCCCATTTTCTGACTTGAGAGTATAGAATGGCTAAGTAAATAAACAAGCTTTCCATGGCAGTTGGTTAGGAGATCAAGGAAGGGCAAGTCGGAGGCATTGTGCTCAGCAGGAATGAGCTACTTTATTGTTGCAAATAGATCATCTACATGTATACAGCTAAGGCTGTGAAAGTTTGAGAGTACTTCCTGCTGGGCTGCATCAATGTGTAACTTGTAAAGTTCTGTTACTTCTTAGATCTTATTTCAGACCTTCGGCAGACTTGCAAAATAGGCCAAATAGTAATCATTATCTCCATTTAACAAGTGAGGAGAAGACTGAGAGGTTCACTGACTAGCCTAAGACTGCACAGAATGTAGGCATTCCCTTTGTCCATGATATTTAGCTGAAATGTGGTTTTTGCTGAATACTCACAAGTGTAGGGACCAAGGTTTCTTGGCTTTCTAGATTCTAAGCCACTAACTTGAATCTAGTGTCTTACTGTGGAATGGAATAGCATTTGAGGGTGAGAATTGTAGTGGGAATTTCGTACTTGTGAGGAAAGGAAACATAAGCCCGAGAGTCCTAGATAATGAACCGAACTGTCCCAGTTAATTGTTAGCTTAATTATAAGGTTGTGGTATCTCAGTGTGCATAGGGCCTACCCTCTACCAGTGCCTACAGCTACTGTATTACAGAGCTGTGACTCCCTGGGAGCTTCCTGTTCCTGTCTCTGACTCTGGTGAGGTGTATAATAAAGGAAAGCCTCCAAACATCTCAGCAGATGTAACCCAGTAGGATAAACCCCGCAAGATTTCTGGAAGGTAAAATTATTTTTACCTTATGCTTTGCCATGGACATGACAGAGCAAGTGAACTTGTGAGTACAATTTATTTGGGTAATGATTGGATTTTCTGCTCCAAATAATGGCAAAAAGAGTAACTGTGAAGTTATGACAACTGGTTTGTTGACAACAAGCAAAGGCTAAAAGCGAAATGGTCTCTGCTCTGAGGTAGTTTTCAGGTCTGTAAAGACTGGTGTTATCGGATCCTATTTGACTTTTTAAATGTGTACTGGAAAAAGGTAGTACATCTGAGTTTGCAGTTAACCCTAAACAAAATACCAAGAGGAAGTCAGTCAGTAAATATTAATTGAATACAAACATTAGGCCAGGCATTGGTGTAGAAGTTAGTGATCACAACAAAGTCCTTCCCTTCAAATACTTGTATTCCAGTGTGAGAGATAAAGAGTAAGGTGTGTGGCACTGTAAGATCAGCACTGAATTTTAAACCACAAGCTTGGCAGTTCAAACCCACCCACTATACAGGGTTGCTGGGAGTTCAAACCCACCAGCTATACAGGATCACTATGAGTCAGAACCAACTCGACGGTACTTAACAACAACACATAGAAAAAATAATTAGGTAATTTGAGAGACAGACTGACTGTCCCTGGTTTACTAGTGTGGTAAGAAAGGTTTCTTTGTAGAGGAGACACTTTTGCTGAGAGAAATTGCAAATGCATTTTTATTTTAGGGTCAGCTTCAGTTACCCTAATCAGTAGCGTTATTTGTGCACATACAGGACATTTCCTATCAACATCCTACTTCTGCCTGGATTCCCTATTGCCATTCACCCATCTTTCCTGCTGTCTCCAGAGTGCTTTAGGCAACCTAATGATGCCAACAGGCTGAGTACACTACAGAGGAGGCTGTTGTTTGCGTTGTTGTACACCGATCCCCTGCAATGATGGAAAATGGTCAACTTAATTGGCTGTAGAAGGTCTGGTCTTTTTTCTGATTTTGAATTTTGTTGGACATTTTCTCCCTCTCTGTCCAGTACCTTCTATTGTGACCCTAATCAGAACTGTTGGTAGTGGTAACTAGCACCATCTAGATTTTCTGGTCTCAGGCTAGTTTATACTGTGCTTCATATGGTCCATTAGTCCTTTGAACTAATTGTTTTCTTTTTTGTTTTTTTAACTAATTGTTTTCTTGAGTCTTTGATTTTTTTTTTTTCTCGCTCTTTGCTCCAGATAGTAAGAAACCAATAGTTGTATTCTAAATGGTCACTTACAAGTGTTTAAGACCCCAGTCACTAGAATAATGTCTTTATGGATTATGTTATGTCAACTGATGTCCTCTGAAACTATGGTCCTAAACCCTCAAACCTTTGTGACTCTGTCCTTCAAGTTGTTTGGTTATGACTAAGAAGTTTATCTACTTTTGTCCTTGGTTTGCTCTATGATAGGATCAGTATGAGGAGGCATCCAAAAGTTAGCAAAAATATTCCATTATCTTTCAATTCCATTTTCCCACAAACATTTTGAAGCCCTCTTGTATTTCTGATTCGTCTCTTTTGTAGGCTAAGGGCCTTTGGAATCTATTGGATTGCTGTTATGACTTCTTTTTTTTCTTCTGTTGTTTTGTTTTTTATTCCAGGAGAAATAGCAATTAAGAAAGACAGAGATGTCAAAGTTAACTCCATGGTTGTTAGCCCAATCAACTAGATAAATGGAGTTAGCATTTACTAATAGAAAAAACAAAACCAAACACTGGGAAAGAGACACATTTGACCCAGGAGTAGAATATCAAGAGGTGGCCTTTCCAAAAATATTTCAATTGTTTACAGTTTTATAAGCAACTCTGGTAGCGTAGTGGTTACGAATCGAGCTGCAAACTGCGAGGTCAGCAGTTCAAAACTATCAGCTGCTCCGTGGGAGAAAGATAAGGCGTTCTGCTCCTGTAAAGATTAATAGCCTTGGAAACCCTGTGCAGGGTCGCTGTGGGTCAGAACCGACTCCACAGCACATAACAGCAACAACAATAGTTTTATATTATTACAATCAGTGCTTCTGTGAACATCCTTTTACATACCTCCTGTGCATCTGGGGAGGACTTTCTCTAGAGTACAAATAGGATTAGTATAGTTAGATCCTAAGGTAATTGATTCTTCAATTTTAAACTCTTATTACATTTGAAAAGATGTGTGTGTACTAGGGATGGCAAGTAGAATGTGTACTAAGTGTCCCGCATAAGTGAGGTAAAGTTACCTTTTAAAATACAATTATAGGGTGATTTTTAAGTACAGACATTAATTGTGGAGTCATTTTAGCCAATTTAATCTCCTCTGGTTCTGGTTTCAATGGTAATCCTGGTGTGGTGCTGTAGGATGAGCCCTGGACAATATACTCCATTCAGTGAGTAGACAGAGACTGAAAACAATACAACAGTGACAGAGTTTACCATATGGGGACTAACAGATAATTTCTATACCATATAGTATTTTTATACTATGTGCCATCTTCTTTGTGGTATTTTTAGTAGCCTGTACGAATTGGGCTGTGACCGCAAGGTCAGCAGTTCGAAACTACCAGCTGCTCTGCGGGAGAAAGATGAGGCTTTCTGCTCCCATTAAGATTTTCAGCCTCGGAAACCCTGTACAGGGTTGCTATGAGTCGGAACCGACTCCATGGCACATAACAACAACAAAAACATACAATCAATGGCACTTAACAACAGCAACAACAATATAGTTACTGTAATGGGCAACGTCAGCATAATAATCTTAATCCAACGTAAACTGCAGTGTCACACTCCAGTGTACCTTTTTCTTAGCCATTTAGCCTTTGTGGACACTGGGTAGTTCACATTGCTCCCAGCAATTATGCTCATGAGCTTTAATTTTTTTAATGTTTTCTTGTGAATTATGTGATAGTTTACATGGGAGAACATTAGCTTTATGTTCATCCTGTTGTATATTGTTTCATTGCCATGGTTACAATCCCCGCCATGCATCATCAAACAACCAAAGGGTATAACCTGCAAGCCTGCCCGCCCCCAGGTCATCAGCACACAGCCCCTCTCCCTCTCTGCATCTAGAGTCCCCAGCTGCTCCATCTCTCCACGTCATCGTCTCTGCCTCCATCTCTGGCATCACTGCTTCTCTGAGTACGGTCGCACTCTCTGCTCTTCTCCCGATGACTGCCTTTTGTAGATGGTTCTTCCTAAGCAAATTTGTGTGTGAAAAGTTGACACAGAATGGTAATGATTATAGAGTGTGGTCCTCAAGCCCCTACTAAGAGGGTCAGCTGAGAGATGACAAGTAGAATTGAGAGCTTCAGATTCTTTAGCTACATTTTCTACCAGAAGCATACTCTGGCTTTTCTTTTCCCTGACTTCTGGTAGGCAGAATGGCATATGGGGGGTATTCTTGAAGGTTTGGGGTTCAGTATTTATAGGGATGCTGTCTTGAATCTAATTGTATTTGCTTGTCTCTAGATTTCAGCCCATGCAGAGGAACAGGAAATACATTTGGAAGAGACAACAACTCAGGATACAACAGAGGAATCACCATCTACCTCACCCCTCAGTAGGGGCTCAGCTCCTAGAGCCCAGCTAGAGTCACTCCATGACCCTGTGGTACAGCATCTCGCCATCGGGCACTTTGGTACTCACCTTTTCAGATCTAACCTCAAGTCACATCTCCCTCCTAGCCTCTGGAGGCTCCTTGCCTTCATCTCCCTATTTCCCACCCTATTGGAATCCCTCACTGCCCTGCCATCTGCCCTTCTTCTCCGGTGACCTTGTCTGCTCCTTTTGCTTCTCCTCTAGTCATTTGTTTACTAGGGTAAATCGAAAAGTATTGCTGTTAGGGTTTCAGGTCACACATGAAAGAGCTTTGTAACACTTGCCTGAGAAGGGTAGATTTATTCCAAATAAAACATGCTTAAACATGTCTCTGCAGTCAGTGGAGGGCTGCAGACAACTTCACTCAGCCTCATTAGGGTGTCTTCAGAAAAAAGTACAATCAAAACAGTGGCTTCCAAGGGGATCTGATTGGTCACTTAAATTTAAGGCAGACAAGTCACCTCAGAAGGTTATGGTGACATTTTTGGGATCCCAAAAGGGTAATCTTGATAGATTTTCTCAAAGGACATAGGATGATCATGGGGGCTTATTAGGAAAAAATTTTAAGAAAGTTGAAAACTGTACTGATAAGAAAAAGGCCAGGAAAGTTGCACCAAGGAATTTTTTCCCCATCACAACAATGCACCCCCTCATTCTTTGAGGGTTGCAAGGGCTGTCCTTAAAGAATTTTTGTTGGGAAACCTTACTCCATCCACTATACAACCCTGATTTTGCACCTTCAGACTTTTTGGCTCTCAAGACTCAAAAGAACATTGGAAAGGAATTTGATTTGAATTGTCAAGGATACCAGAACTGCTATTTTGACTTGATGGCAATCAGATTTCAGAATTCGTCAGGAAAAGGTTAGAAAGATAGAAACACTGTCAGAAGTGTACAGATCTAGATGGATGATATGTCAGGAAACAACTTCTCAAAGGTTCTGATTCTGTAGCAGTACTTTTTGACTCACCCTCATATTTAGCAAGTTTTTGTTCAGGCATATTATAGAAAGGCTCTTGAGGACTAGAGGGATATGGTAGACAATACCAGTGCTTTCAGAGAGCTCTAGTAGGCAGACAGAATCAGTCTGTGTTAAAACAGACAACCTTATGAGGTATATAAGAATGATATCTGTCTCAGGATTGGTCTGAACAAATGATCCAATCACAAATGAGCTATGTGGGCATTATAAAAGATGAGTGTGATCCTTGTGAGCTGGAGCAGGTAGGGGATACTTCTTGAAGAAGTAGCAATAAGATTGGACAGTGAAGCATTGGGGAGCAGAGGATATGAGCCAACACTATGACCCATTTAGGCGGGGTCAGGAAGGGCTGTGAATTTGGGAGCCTAGGACCATCTTGTTCAGAGCCTTAGGATAGAGGGCAGGAAGATTTTGGGTAGCAGTGGATGGATGACGTATTAGAAACATATTTCACAGAACTATTTGGCAAAAATGAGCACTATGGATTGAATGGAGAGGTGTAGTGTGATGGATCGCTAGTCTGCTCTTTCCTGACAGGTCTTATAACTCCCACAAACGACTGGGTGTGACTATGCAAATAAGGTGCTTGTGACCCACCCAGGGGACTGGATGGCTTGCTAGTCATGCAAATAAGGTGCATATCACTCTAACACCTTAGTGGGAGTTGTTGTTATTGTCATTAAGTGCCATCAAGTTAGTTCTGACTCACAGCAACCCTGTACAGAGTTTCTGAAGCTGTAACTCTTTGCTGGAGCAGAAAGCCTTCTCTCTTTCTTGTGGAGTGACTGGTGGGCTCAAGATGACGACCTTGTGGTTCACAGTCCAGTGCTTATCCTACAGATGCTCCTCTAGAGGGCTTGTTGTTCTTAAGTGCTGTTGAGTCGGTTTTGATTCCTACTGGCCCTATACAGGGTTTTCAAGGAGCAACTGGTGAGTTTAAACCGCCGACCTTGTGGTTCAAATCAACCTTTCAGTCTAGACCATGCAAATAAAGTGTACAGAACCCTAAGGAGGGCATTGGTCAGTTTTTTCATCCCAATAGATTTTAAATGAGTTATATCCAAGAGGCAGAGAGGGGTAGTTTCCCTATCACCAAAAAGTAGAGCGAGGAGCACAGTGTGTGTCCTTTGGACACAGGCTCACTGCACTGAGAACCTTGTAGGCCCAGGAGACAGAGAGAGAGAGAGCTGTAATACCAGAGTCTGAGAAGCAGCAGAGGCAACAGAACCAGGAGAACTGCAGGAGATGGCACAGTGGACTTCTCAGCCCATGGAGTGAGCACTTCTTGACAGAAGGTTTGTTGGTGGAGTGGGTGTCTGTGGACACTAAGCAGTTGAGCTAAAGAGCTTTGTAACACTTGCCTGAGCAGGGTGGAGAATGTGCTAGTCCAAGGGGCTGAGGGCCAGGGAGAAGTCTTCTTGTAGGTCTGGCAAAGATGCTTCCCTTACTAAAGAGCTGTATTCTGAGTTGTTCCTGATCCTAAATGATTACCTGTTACTTCCCTAATAGAGCCCAGACCTGTGAGTGTAATGTTTGAGTTCTGTGTGGCCATTGAAAGAATTATTGAACCCAGCAGAGAAGTCAATAGTTAGGTGGGATAAATGATAAAAAGATGGGAGAGAGGAGGTATGTCTAACCTTTTCTTCATAAGAATCAGCCCTGAGCTCTTGATACTGAAATGATTCTTTCCCACACCTGTGAAGTTAAGAAGGAGGTCAGCAGACACTGTCTCCATGCCATATTTATAGGTGACGAATGGCAAGGATGTTGGGTAATAGGTTAGCGCAGTGGTATAGAGGTGAGCAATTACTGCCTGAACTGGGCAAGTAGAATGAAAAGGGAGAAATGTGAAAGCCATTGTGGAGGAAGAATCTGTGGACATGGGGTTAAAGAATGAAGATAAGCATTAGAAGGCTCTGGGTAATGTCTTGAACCATTTACAGAATTTGTGAAGTCAGAAAAAGAAAATAGTAAGAACTTGCATTTTAGTCATTGAGTTTAAGGGGTTGGGTACACCCAAGTGAAATGTTCCGTAGGAACTGGAAGTGTGTGATAGGAGAGAAAGGTGAGTCCTATGAGAGCAGCATTAAGCCATGGAAGTCATGTGACTCTGGGAGAGAAGACATACTGAGAGCTGAGCTGCAAGGCATCTCTGTAATGAGAGGGCAGGAATGGAAGAGAAACCAGAGGATTGAAGGGCCAGAGATGTGAGGGGGAAATCTTGCTTGCTTGTGCTTGGAAAGCCATGAGAGAGAATATGTGTTGAGAAGTCTAGCTTCCCTCAGAGAGGCTGAAGAGCATGAGAGCTGGGAGAAGCAGATATTTCTTTGTTTCACCTGAGCCTTCAGGAAAAATTCACAGTGTCCTTAAGTTAATGCTTTTACAGAAGAAGGCTAAGAATTAGTATGTGAGACGTTGCCTGGTCTCTTTAATCCACTTTTTGGGCATATAGTGTTTACGGGGCCAAGAACTGGCCTTGGCCCATTCAGTGCTTTCTTTCCTCCCTCAGCTCCACTTATTTCTCCAGTTCCTGCCCTTCCCCAAATGGGGAACTCAGGAGACCAAGCAGTGGCAACTGTGCTTCGGATGGTCAGGCCCCAGGTGAGCTTGGTTCTTTCTGTCTTCCCTGAGTTCCCATCTTTGTGACCCAAGGATGGCTTTATCTGATATCCAGTGCTTTGTCTCATTCTGAGACTCCCCCTGTGGCTTCCCTGCCTCAATACTTCCTGTGCTGAGTCTTTCCTGCTGAGTTAATGGACTCTCTTGCCCTCAACTTGTCCTATTAGATGTAGCCCAGCTTCTCTCCCTCTCTCACCTTCTTTGCTTACTGTACCCCTGATGATGACTCTGCCTTTCACCGTGGAAATGTTCCTGAACAATGGAAGCTTGTCATTCCAGGAGTGTGCAGCAAATGAAGTCCCGTCTATGGACTACAGTCAGAAGAAGTGGAAAAGTCCAGCACTTAGTCAGAGAGCCCTCTGCCGGACCGTGATGATGGGAAATTATCACAGCATGGCCTCATTGGGTAATGATTCTATTCTCTAGTAATTTAGAGTCTGCATTCTTTCCCTTCTTTTTTGCTATGTTCTTTTTTCTTCTGAAGAATACAGACAAAAAAAGAGAAAATAGTATAATAAACATCTGTATACCTATCATCTCACTTTTATAACTAATCTGCCTTCTCTTTGCTTCGTTATGATCAATTGATATAGGATACTTTAGTCAGATATTTTAGTTGCACGGAATAGAGTAACACAAGTTAATAACAAGTAACAAGCTATGTTATAAGACTTCGAGAAAATTGAACCCAGGACAAACCAGTCAGCTAGACCTGTTGCAGTAGTGACAATGGAGACTTGAACCAGGGCGGTTCAGGAGCCTCAGCAGCAAAGACAAACGAATCGTTATACCAGTATTTCCGTGTGAGTGCAACTCCACTGCTCCCTGTGTCTTCTCCCTCTCCCGGTCTTCCCTTTGTTACCCTATTCCTCACTCTAATCTGTTGTTACCCTCATAGCTCCATCTGAATTAACAGTTTATATTTCCTCATAATTTCTGCTGTGTGGCTCCTAATGACTTGGTTTTTCTCTATGCATTATTTCAGCTTAAGCTCCTGGTCTTAATGGTCTGATTTTTATTCCTACTTCCAGTACAGAATTTCCTTAAGAGAAAGACTTAAGTTGGCTCTGTCATTAAATACCATTTCTGTCTGGGTAGAGTTTTGGCTCCTGGCCACAGCCTATAAGATACACTTGGGTCTGGTGACTTGCCGTAGTTTAATCACCTATGGTCCATCATAGGATAAGCAGGGTCTCTTAGCACAAAGCATAGTTGGCTAAGTTTCCCTTTAGCAAAGACTGGGACAGGACAGTTTCATGGAAGAGGCTATTATCAGGGCATGTTCCGTAATTGACAAGTCTAATACAGCACCTACCTTTGAAGAGGATGGTCTTAGGAGTTAGGGACCCAGACATCTCCAATTACTCACATACTAAAATGGCATGATGACTTATGGCCATGGTTAAGATATGATTGAAAGTCATTGGTGCTTTCCTTAATTTTTATAAGAGTACAGTACTGTACTGGCTCCTTTTTGTCTAATTATGCTCTAGGAGCCAGGGAGATCCCCACTTCTCAACATATGCTCTCTTCAACACTTCCCCAACATTGCCATTTCTGAACCAGCAGCTTTTCCAGATTTTGTCACTGCCCTGTAAAAGCAGAATCACTCATTTTTGTTTTTTTAACTTTTTATTCTGAATTGAGCGAAGGTTAACAGAGAAGATCACCAGGTTTACAGTCAACAAATTATATGCTTTGTTTCATCTCAGTGATTATAGTCCCCGCCTTGCGACAACAGTTATCCTACTTTGTCCTGTGGCTCCCCATTTACATCTTATATTTCACAAATGAACAAAGCAAAATTACTTGGTGTACACATACAAAACAAAAAGTATACATTCATTTAAATGTCCAAAGGGCATATTCTGCAAGCCAGCCTCCTGCCTGCAGGCACACAGCTTTTCTTAATCCGGGAGCCTAGGGCCCTCAGCTATTCTCTCTCTCCATGCCATCGCCTCTGCTATCGCTGCTTTTCTAGGTAGGATCTCACACTCCACTCATGTTCTTTCTTCTTGATGGTCTTGAGATCGTCTGTTCCCGAAATGTTTAATGACTAGGTCACCCCCTTTTTTTTTTTTTTTTTTTGCAGAGTCCTGGTGTGGCACTATGGGTTAATGCTCTGGACTGCAAAGGCAGTTTGAACCACAAGGCTCCTTGTGCACTAGACTATGTGTTAATACGCTAGACAGCAAAGCTGTTTGAACTGCAGAGTCGGTGGTTCAAGTTCACCAGCCTCTCCTAGGAAACCCTATACAGGGTCACTGTGGATTGGAAGTGACTCGATGGCACTTAACAACAACAACAGTACTTGTCCCTTTTAGTTACACATCTTCTACAATTCTAGTTGTAATCCGGCTAACAGTTACTCACAGGTGACTCATAAAATCCTATCCCCGTCATTCCCCATCCCCTTCACCAGACCCATCTGGAAAAGAAGAAAACTACTCAGTGGAGATTCCGGATTCTGCATTACTACCCTCATTCTGAAACTAAGTACTCATGAAAATTTATAAGCCAGCCACTTCAGGTTGCTATACCCTCCCCTTTACCTTCATCACGCCAGCACACTGAGGACACAAGCTTGTTCTTTGATATGAAAGATCCTTCCATTCCAGTTGGAATTTTGAGCAACTGCATCAACAAGCAAAAGTCCAGTGCATCAAATTGTAGCAGTTTACATTTGCTCATAGTATCAACTATCTTTATCTTCATCTGGTCAGCTAACCAGTCAAGCTAGGTCAAGTGGGTACTAGTTATGTGTTTGGGAGTTCATGCACTTCAGACCAGTTGGCTGCTTCACTCTCAGCCCTATCCCCGAGTGGCAAGGCAAGTGCCCATGGGCAGGAGTTCACATATCTCCCTAAACTTCAAACCAGCCAGCCCTTCCTCTTCTCGCTGTCATTTCAAGGTCAACATGTGACAATGCAACATGGCCAAACTCAGCACATACCATCATTGCTACATTTCCCCCACTTCTGCTCACAAATAGACCAGGGTGGTCACCAGTGAGCATACTAGACTGCTCATGGGTTCCCTTTGAATTTCAATTCTAGAAGGGGCCCTGATGAGTGCACTGTTCTTGCCTTGAGACCTCCAAAGTAAACAGCTTGCTGAATATTCAAATAACTAACAGTCTACTCTTTAACATTTTTTGTAGTTGTTGTTTTATTGTAAATTATGTGATAGTTTACATGGGAAAACATTAGTTTTACATTCATCCTATTGTATATCATTTCATTGCCATCGTTACAATCCCCTCCATGCATCATCAACCAACCAAAGGGCATACCCTGCAAGCCTGCTCCCTGGTCCTCAGCACACAGCCCCTCTCCCTCTCTTGGTCTAAAGTCCCCAGCTCCATCTTTCTACATCATCGTCTCTGCCTCCGTCTCTGGCATCACTGCTTCTCTGGGTAGGGTCCAACTCTCCGCTTTTCTCCCTTGATGGTCCCAGGGACCTCCACTCCTAGACTGCAAAGTCAGTCACTCCCCTCCTTGCTACAAAACGTCTACCTTTACATTTCCAACCCTCACAATCTGTCCTGATAACCATTATTCACTATTGTATCACAAGAGACCTATCTGCATTTCCTTTCATCAGCCCCTCCTAGACAGATTGGATACTAGTCAGTGGGTGTTCTACCTTCCTCCACGTCCTCTGGATCTAGGCTCCCTCTGGAAAGCTTGTAAGCCAGTCACTTCTTGCCTTTGTAGGCCCACCTACCACTTTGTGGAGCCAGTTTCCAAGTTGTCCATCCCTATCTACTCTGCATGGAGGGGGTGGGAATGATCCTTGCTGTAAAGATTTGTTCCCTCTTTTGAGCTACTGCATCCACAGGTATAGGTCAAGTTCATCAAATTGTATCAGATTACTCTTTTTTTCTTCTTGTTTCTTCTTCTGGTGGAGCTCTGATCATTCAGTCATTGAAGCCAGGACAAGTGGGTATTATCTTCAAGTGTGGGTGTTATGCATATGCCCTCTCTTCTTATCAGCTGGACACTTCACTCTCCACTCTAGTCCTCTGTGGCTATGTCACTGACTCTGAGCTCAAGAATCCCCAGGTCTTGCCACACCGCTGGCCAATCAGGTCTCTACCTGGGTTCATAGGAGTCTATTGAGTGTTGCAGGGCTTAGCTTGCAGCTTCATTGCTGTTTTTCCCTCACTTCCCCTTATCGATGATGAACATGGTCAACAATCAGAGCATGTATTCCCATTGAGTCTTAGCCTTGGAAGGGGGTTTGCTCTGAGGAGACCCGACTACTTGCCTTGATGTCTTCTTGGTGAGCAACTTGCTTGTTCTTGTAGTAATCAGTTGGTCTGCCTTTACTGTTTTGTATTTTTCCTGTCGAACTAGTACCTTCTTGTTGTTAAGTATCATTGAGTCTGTTGCAGCTATACTCTTGTATCTGTCTCGTCCAGTTTTCTGAGTCCTTGCTGTAGAGAACCTGCATAGCATTTCTGCTGCTATCTTTCTCCAAAAGCTCTTCCCAGTCACTCCTTTTTGAACACTTTCTCCTAACCATACTTTCATAGTATAATTCTAATACCCATCTTTTCCCTCACAGTTTCACATATCTAATTTGAGGTGTTTACTATTCCTCACTTTTTTAAACATCTTTTCTGAACACTGTGAAACAACACACTATGATTGGAAAAGATCTGAGAGCTTATTGCTTTACTAAGGAAATGTAGCATTTAAATGACTTTTGTAAGATCCTATTATGTTTACAGTCTGGTCTCTTGTCTCATCAACTGTCCTAACTTTGCTGTGCTGGTTCAGCATCTGCCTGTCTCTGCTATCTCTTCTTTTATCCTCCTCTACTGACTGCCTTCTCTGTCTTTGGTTTTTTTTTTTTCTCTCCATGAAGAAAATACTGAGCTGTTTCCTCTCCTGTTTTTAATCTGTCACTTCACTCTTTACCCACAGAGTAATATTTTCTTAATGTGCAAGGATACCTTTATGACATTTCCTCAGTAGGAGACAAAATGAGTAAAAGTTGTTTTCTTCTTTATTTTCACAGCAGGTGAGAACAGAATGGAGAGTTCAGACTTGGCTCCAAAGCAAGAAATTTCTAAGGGAGCAAGGTCATCCGATAGGACACCAGGATCACTCTGTGGGATGGTTCCTGAGACACTGGAAGCTGGAGATGCTTATGAAGATCTAGAAAGGAAGCCCTTAAATGAATTTAGGAGCAGACTAGAAAGCAAATTTTTAGAAATTATAGATGAGGATAAAAAACATCCCACAAAAGACAGTTGTATACAATATAAGGAACCTGAGGAACATTTTGATCTGTCCTCCAGTCCTGCTGAACATCAGGGAGTTCTGAAGGGACAGAAATTCTATCAGTGTAATGAATGTGGCAAAGCTTTCAATAGAAGCTCACACCTCATTGGCCATCAGAGAATCCACACTGGAGAGAAACAGTATGAGTGTAATGAATGTGGCAAGACCTTTAGGCAGACATCTCAGCTCATTATTCATCTCAGAATCCACACTGGGGAGAAGCCCTATGAATGCAACGAGTGTGGGAAAACCTACCGGCACAGCTCCCATCTCATTCAGCACCAAAGACTTCATAATGGGAGAAAACTGTATAAATGTAATGAATGTCCAAAAGCCTTCGCTCACAGTTCCCAACGTATGGACCACCAGAGAACCCATACTGGGGAAGAACCTTATGATTGCAACATGTGTGGGGAAGCCTTCATTCAGGGTAAAAATCTTATCCAACATCAGGTAATTCACACAGGGGAAAAACTTTACAAGTGTATTGAATGTGGGAAAGCTTTCTGTTCCAATAGGAATCTTGTTGATCATCAGAGAATCCACACTGGGGAGAAGCCTTATGAGTGTAATGAATGTGGCAAGGCCTTTAGTCGAAGTAAATGTCTTATTCGGCATCAAAGCCTCCATACTGGGGAAAAACCATACAAATGTAGTGACTGTGGGAAAGCCTTTAATCAGAACTCTCAACTCGTTGATCATGGGCGAGTACATACTGGAGAAAAACCTTTTGAATGTAGTGAATGTGGTAAGGCATTCAGTCTAAGTAAATGTCTTATTCGCCATCAGAGACTTCACACAGGTGAAAAGCCCTACAAATGCAAAGAGTGTGGAAAATCCTTCAATCAAAACTCACACCTCATTATACACCAGAGAATTCACACTGGTGAGAAACCCTATGAATGTAATGAATGTGGCAAGGTCTTCAGTTACAGTTCTAGCCTTATGGTACATCAGAGAACCCATACTGGGGAGAAGCCCTATAAGTGCAATGACTGTGGGAAAGCCTTTAGTGACAGCTCACAGCTTATCGTGCACCAGAGAGTTCACACTGGAGAGAAACCCTATGAATGTAGTGAGTGTGGGAAAGCCTTCAGTCAGCGTTCCACTTTTAATCATCACCAGCGAACTCACACTGGAGAAAAGCACTCAGCTCTGGCTCGGTCAGTTTCTTAAAAGCCTGGTTCTTTAAGGTAGAGAGCAAGGTAGTTTGACTTGAGTTACGCTTTCTTTATAAGAAAGAAGTCCTGGTATTTCAGTGTGTTTTGTATCAGGCTGGTAACTAAGGTCAGTGGTTCAAACCTACCAGCAACTGTTCAGGAGAAAGATGAGACAGTCTGTTTCCATAAATATTTACTGCTTTGGAAACTCTATGGGATTCTACTCTGTCCTGTAGGGTTGCTGTGAGTGAGAATTGACTCAGTAGCAGTGGGTTTGTTGTTTTGTTTTGTTTTCTTTATAAGGAAGATGCTCACCTCGTCTCCTTGGAATCACTAATTACAAACAGGCCTTTCTGTACGTCTTTTCCCATTAAGTAACTTAGTGCAATTCTTTTCCAATCCGGAAAGTAAGGACTACACATTTGATTTATTAGTAGGTTTGTTTGCTTGACTTAAGTATTTTTTTTAAGGTTTTTATTGTGGATAGAGTAAAAGTTTACAGGGCACATCATCAGTTTCACATTCAACCATTCATATGACTTGTTTCATTACATTGATTATAATCCCCTCCATACATCATCAGTCAACAGTGTTTCTCTCTATCCTCTTTGGCTTTTCTCCTTTTTGGGGGGTTGGGGGGGGGGGGGAACTTTGCTTTTTTGGAATTTACAGTCTCGGCTTTTAGGGAAGGTTTTTACATTTATCTGTGGATATCCAGGGCTCATGTATGCGATTACTAACAAGCATAACTGAATACTCAGATGTGGGACAGTTTGCTATGTCTGCTAGGTGGCTAAAGTCTGATCCTCAGAGCCTATGGTTTGGACGGTCTGCAACGCTTGGGCCCACAGGACCTTGAACTCCTGGCCAGGTCTGCATGGTTGACTTAAGTATTTTTATATCTATTTTATTTCTTAGTTATATCCCATAATCAAATTGTCAAGGACAAAGATTCTTCTCTATTTCATCTTTTCTGTTTCACTATTTACATAAAATCATTCTCCACGCCTGACTCATTCATTCCTACTTCTTGGCTATGGCTCTCCCAGTCTTCTTACTAAACTTCCAGTCCAGTCTTCTCCAACCACTTTCCCTATTTAGAAAGAAAACCGTTTCTGCTTTGTGTTTGTTAATCTTTGTTCTTCAAATTTTTCAAAATCCAAGTCACCTCTGAAAGTCTTTCTTTAATTAAAATGCTTTTTCTTTTCTCTTACATGTCTATTGATTTGATCTCTATTTTCAATTAGTTGGTGCTACACTATACAACTGTTGTTAAATTGTCTTGTAAATGATTCTCAATGCATATGTGTATATTTTCATACAAACTTATTGTAGGCTATTTGAGATTTGGTATGTACCTATTTCTTTTAAAATATAAAGATTTGCACATAGTAGTTGTTAAATTAAACTTTTGACTCGACTCTTAAAGTGGGCACAATCTTTCCTCCCAGGCTAGAAGCTTCTAAAGATAGAAGTGATATCTCATAATATGATATCACATACAAAGGCTCCTGGAAATCTCACTGCTGTTTATGTGTGTATGTGTGTCTAGACATTGGGGTGGACAGTCATGTCTTACAGTTACTTAGCACTGCACACTGACTCGAGTTCTGTACTAGCTGATTGTACTCTGCTTCATAAATACATAAGAGTGACTCAAAATTTTACTTCAAAGACTTTTGTGGCCATGGTAAAGATGGTTGAAAATTTCAGCTGAAATATTCCTGGATGACTGGAATTCACAATGATAGGCTTGTAACAAAATAATATAGTTAAAACTAATCTGATTAAGCAGGGATTGCTTATTTTCAAGGTGTACGCTTAATTATCATAATTATCTTTTGGCTTATCTTTCATTCCCAATGAAAGGAATTCTGGCGTAGCTCTGTGGATCAGCGCTGGACTGTGAACCACAAGGTCATCAGTTCAAACCCCCCCCCCCCAGCTGCTCCTTGGAACTCCTATGAGTCGGAACCAATTCAACAGCACTTGAGTGCTACTGACTACTATTACTACTTCATTCCCACAGGAAAAAAGAACAGGAAATCTTCAGAGGATTTCCTCTTCTTTCCCAGTCCTACTCATATCTGACATGAGCTTGAACAACTTTTCCCTCCTGCCCTGTAAGTAGGTCCCCAGTGTTGGGATCCCTTTTCCTCTGGTCCCTAGTTCCTACTCTTTCCATCCCCAAACTTATTTTATTTTATTTTTTAAGTTTTTATCATGAACTGAGTGATAGTTTACATGGGAGAGCATCCCAGTACACCGTTTCATTGCAATGATTATCATTCCCTCCGTGCATCATCATTCAACAGTATTTGCTTCCAAGCCCTCTGTTTTTTGGTTTATTAGGGGTTTTTTTTAGTGGGGAGGAGATGTACACACTCAAACTTCTTGATAGGACAGGATTGGCAGTATGGCACAGATGGAAGAGGAGATCAGAGAGGCATTGTCTTCATTGTCTTAGTTATCTAGTGCTACTACAGCAGAAATACCACAAGTGATTGGCTTTAACAAACAACTTTGTTTTCCCACACAGTTTAGGAGGCTAGAAGTCCAAATTCAAAATGCCTGCTCTTGAATTCAAGGTGTTCTCTATGTTTGCTTTGGAAGAAAGTCCTTGTCTATTGAACTTCTGCTCCTCGGCAATCTTCATGTGCCTTGGCACCTTTTCCTTTATCTGTGCTATGTTCACTTGTTTAGTTTCTCATGTCTCAAAAGAGACTGACTCAAAATATACCCTACACTAACCTGGGCTCATTAACATTATAATAAAGACTACCCATTCCTAACTGGGATTATAATCATGGGCATGTTGTTGTTGTTAGGCGCCATCGAGTTGGTACCATCTCATAGCGACCTTAGCACAGCAGAACAAAATACTGCTCGGTCCTGGGCCAACCTCACTACTGTTGCCACGCTTGAGTCCATTGATGCTGCCATCTCATTGGGGATCTTCTTCTTTTTCTCTGACCCTCCACCTTATGAAATCATGATATCCTCCAGTGACTGGTCCCTCTTAACAATATGAAGTATGAGAGACAAAGTTTGACCATCTTGGCCTCCAAGGAGCACTCTGGCTGCACTTCTCCCAAAATGGATCTATTGGTTATTTTGGCAGCCCATGGCACTTTCAACATTCTCCTCCAACACCACAACTCAAAGGCATCAGTTCTATGATCTTCCTTAGTCACTGTCCAGCTTTTGCATGCATATGAGGTTCTTGAAAATACCATGGCTTGGGTCAGGCGCACCTTAGTCCTCAAGCTGACATCTTTGCTCTTCAACACTTTAAAAAGGTCTTGTGCAGCAGATTTGCCTAATGCAATACATTGTTTGATATCTTGACTGCTGCTTCCATGAGTGTTGAGAGTTGATTCAAGAAGAATGAAGTCCTTGACAACTTCGATGTTTTCTCCGTTGATAAGTATGTTGTTGATTGGTCCATTGGTGAGGATGTTTTCTTTACATTGAGATGTAATCTATACAGAAGTCTGTGCTCTTTGATCTTCATCAGTAAGTGTTTCACTTTCAGCAAGCAAGGTTGTATCATCTGCATATCGCAGGTTGTTAATGAGTCTTCCTCCAATCCTGATGCCACGTTTTTCTTCATAGAACCCAGCTTCTTGGGTTATTTGCTCAGCATACAGGTATTACAACAGAAATTTTGGGAGGGCACAATTCATAACAGACAGTGTCAGGTATGTAATCTGGAGGGGAAAGATTCTTGTGACCTATGGTTAACAGACAATGGAGAAGGAAGTGATAGGTATTAGATATAATTCTGAGGAAGACATTCCAGATCCAGAGAAGGTTAGAAAGAATGTTTTTTGGTTACCTAGAAAAATTGCTAAGCCCAGGACACTACTAGAAATTTGCTATTTTGGAATATGTATTTTTAAATAAATTTCTGTTTGCAGATATATTTTTGGTGTTGGCTTTAATTTTCCTTTCAAGATATACAGATAGGATTCTTGTTTGTAAATCTGAGTGTTTTACATGGGAGCTCCCACATCTCAGGGCAGAGCCCAAGCACGTGCTCCTGTGCGTCCCCACAGGAGACCATCCCTTCAACTCTGAGTTGGATGTTACTGGTTATGTCTTCAATTGTTGTTAAATGCCATTGAGTCAGTCTTCAGTAGGACCCCCTTAACTGTTGGATGCTGCAACTTTATAGTTCTTAATCTTTTTATCACTGCCACAGCCTTTGGGAGGTGGGAACCAGCACTATTTATAACTGCATTGCCCCTCTTCTACCAGTGTCTAGTCTAGGTGCTCAAAGAAAATGAATGGCTGGATTTCCTGGAAAGTACTCAGTCTCTTGCATGGAGGAAAAATGGCTGCGTTTGAGTCACAGTTCAATTTCTATTGGCTTGTTGTTAAGTGCCGTCAAGTCGGTTCCCACCCATAGAGACCCTGTATAGGGTTTCCAAGGAGCAGCTGGTGAGCTTGAACTGCCGACCTTTCAGTGGTCGAGTGCTTATCCTACAGAGCCACACCAGGACTTCAAATAATGATTAGTTTTTCTTAATTTCCAATGTATGCCATTTGTATGTTAGAACTTCAGAAAATGTTGAGTAGTGGACAGCGGGCATTTCCTGTCTTGTTCCTAGTTATAAGGGGGAATGTTTTTACTGTTTCACAGTTTCATGTGTTCATTGTTGGGTTCTGATAACTATTTAAGAAGTTTTTTCTATTCCGATTTTTACACAGAATAGTGGTAAAAAGCACAGATTTCAGGTTAAAATCCTGACTCCACCACCTTAACTGTGTATCAGTTTCTTTGTGTCTCACTTCTATAGAGTGGAACTACCTCAAGGGCCATGAGGTTTATATTAGTTAAGGATATGTGTCAGGCGCTTAAACAGTGTCTGGCACACAATATACGCAATAGCAAAGTAAGTATTGTTGTTAGAGTTTTTATTAGAATTGTTGCTAAATTCTATCAAGTTTTTTAAAAAATATTTTGGTATAATTTTGTGGTTTGTGATCTTTAGTGTTAATCATTTTGTTGACACATTTCCACATAATTGAAATCATGTGCTCTTGCATAAAATCCATTTGTCTACGATAA